GACAAATTAAAAAGTTAATGCCCTACAGAACCCAATTGTGCACAAGATTGGCTGTATGCAAAACAGATGAACTTCACAGCTTATGTAGATATTTTATATAGAATATAATATAAGATATTATTTATCCACTTTATGTAATTTCGACTTGCGAGCTAAATGAAAATGATTTGTATATACGCTTTCTAGCGAACTTGCCTTTTTCAAATTGGTGTTTAGCATGATACAAAGTGCCAAACCAATCCAATAAGCACCATATGTTCTACGAATATTATAAACCAGAACTACAATGCGCAGGTACAAAGTATCAAGTACAACAGCAATATACTGTGGTAGTTACAATCATATTAGAGATAGATAGTGCTGGCACACTGTGACTTACTAGGCTTAGTTAGGTAACCTTTACACAAACTCCCTGCTTACTATATCCCAACCAGGCGCTAATCTTTCAGTATTTAGTTTCTTACAACCACTCATGGCGTCATGAAAGGAATTAATATAGGCCAGTTGATTATGCACAATGTTGACGAATGCATAGCAGTAACTGGCACCTTGTGTAAGCTAATATAGACATTACTTATAGGCAGAATGCACGTATTATGTTTGTCAATATCACTGCTGGTTTAAATTACAAGCAAGACTTGAAATCGGTTGGTTAGTATTCATTTACCATGCGCCCGTAATGTCATCAGGAGTCAAGCGATAAGTCGCGCATGACGTAAACATTTGTTGCGGGCCCGTATGTTCTTGAACGCCAGATGGAAAATGGAGGTGTCAAGCTCTTGTGTAAACACACGGCCACGGATAAACATGGAATGGAGTAAAATACACGTACTAATCACGGACGCACATGGACAGCCCTGACAAAAAGTTCCTTATCACGAGCGACCGTGTTTACGAAATCACTGATGATAGCATTGCGTACGGCCGAGCATGCGTGTGAAAATGTCCGGTGCACTATAAATCTGTATCACACCCACTTCGTTGGCAGCGATTTGAAAGTGAAACTGTAAACTGTAAACATTTCTTGGACTGCGGATTTCAATTAGACATTTCTTAGTAACCAGCAGTGATATTGGACAAACTAATACGCGTTTGCATATAAGGTAATGTACTTATTAACTACACAAGGTGCCAGTTACTCTAGCATTCGACAACATTGCATAATAAATGGCCATATTATTCCTTTAAATTGTGACGTAGTCCTTGCCAACCGTAACAACGGGAAACAAAACTTGTCGCTGACGATTTCATACCCAGTCTGTGATCATAGAAGATCTTCAACAAGAGCAGAACAGCAAACGGGAGATATTTCTCGACAAGGCGAGCGCACATCTGCAGTTCGCTCATGCCGGAGTCGTGTGTCGTATTGTTGTTGATGCTGTCGGCCGAAGCGGCAACATCTGGCGTCGCACCCGAGCCGTCGTCACCGATGTTGATCACGGTGGAGGCTGCATGCTCGGCTGCAGACCCCGCCGTCGCATCCGGTGCCGCTGCCGCAACAACGACAGGAAAACACGGACAAGTCTAAACGCTCACATACTGTGAAATATCATGCATTTTTATCTATCAGGTGATTCACGCCGTGTGCCTATCCGATATTAACTTATAGGTAGTGAGCATACTTTTTGGTATGTTAGATGAATTAATGTATAATCAAACACCATAAACATAGATTGCTGCGTATTATTAGAGGGGATTATAGAATAAACTTATGTGAACTATGTGGAAAATCTAGCATGCATTGTCTCTTTTATTCTTTACTTGACTTCTGTGGTTTATATCACATCATGCCCACTAACCGGGTGTTGGTGCTGAAGCATGTCTGGAATGGTGGTGGTGATGATGATGGCTGGGTCGGTTTCGTCCGGCTGAATTATTTCGTCCTAGGATATCCGAATCTTGTCTGTTTATCAATTCTCTTAGCATCTGTATTAAAATCATACAGAGCCATATTATATCAACTCAGCAAATAACCTCTAAGGCTATTGGTGGTGGTATCCAACTAGCCCTCCCAGGTCTCAGCTTTCTGATTAGACTATGGATTGACTTTTGTGAAATTTGTTACACCCACTGCATCCACATTTGGCTTTATATATGCTTACCTGGTTCACAACCTCATTGTTAATGTTTGCTGTATTACTTAGGGAGTTCGACAGAGACCAGCGAAACAGACGTGGGCTTGGTCCATTACTGCTTTGGTGTTCTTGCCCTCCTCCCTCCGCCATGGTAGCTTGTTTACCTCCACCAGAACTGAAGTTGCAGACACTCACCTATGGCTATGTAAAATGAATCATTGTGGGATGATAATCATTATAATGAGATATATCACTTGCCTAATTATGTGTTCACAAAGATGATAACAGATGTACATCAGTGCTCGAAATAAGCGTTGTCCGAGACAACCAGAATTTGCGCCGGACAACCTAACCAGTCTGAGACATTGTCCGGTGGACAACCAAGAAACCTTATCCCTAACCCTAAGACTAACTCTAAACCGACTCGGCTATCTTATATATGCGTGGTACCCAATTAATCTATGGTGTATAACCTTTTGCTTTCAATATTTTGCATCTGAACTGACAATCAATCCCAACCAACTGGTATAGGCTAGCTGGCACAATAATGTTCAGTTTCATACTTCAAATCCGAGTGTTTTCTAGCTCATCAAGAAATCTTAATCGTGAATTAAATCGTGAATAATATAACAAGTGCCGCAGAGCGACAGCGCTCATCTAACGTCTACTGCGGTGACCACATTGGAGGGCAATCGTCAAAACGTCGAAAGGGTTTGGGGCTCTGTTGAGCTGAGATTTAGGTTCTCGTCAAAGGTCGAAACGGTACAGCCACAAAGCGTGTCTAAAAGAAGCGCGGGCAACTACACTTCCTTCTCACCTTATCCTTAATAGGCTATAGGCCAGGACCAAGTAGAAGCGCAGAATTGTCCTACGGCACATAATCTACAACCGGCGCTGATACGGCTCGTACTTTATGGGCTCGGTCGCCTGCTGCACCAATTACAACAATGGTCGGCGTATACACGCTGTATACCCTGCCTTACATTATCGACCCATACGCCTATTCTGTACACAAGTTTTACCACTCGCAATGTATTCAATATAGTCGCCGTATGGTTCGTGATATGTATTCGGAGTTGTGAACACCTGATTTGCTCATGACAGTCGTGTTTATCTCTGAGTACTCCAGTTGTATTTGTTATATTGATGGGACTACCGATAACGGTATCGGCTCTGGACCCTACGTTTAGCCCACAGGTTGCAACAGTTGGATTATCGTCCGTCCATTCGATGCTACCTAATGTATAGCACAGCAAGTTATCTATACTTGTCTCCTTCTGCGTGCTATTTTTTATCCGCCCTGTACGACTCACCCTTTACATACGTTGTCTTAAATCGCATCGTGAACGCATAGTTTCCACCTGTTCTGAACACTATGGCGTGTACACCAATAGTGCTTGAATAAGTATCAACCGGTGTCTATTTGTTGCATTGAAATATCGATCAGGCATTTAGATCACCAATGTAGCTTTCGTACATCCAAGTTTATACGCCCTGTGCACCAATTACAACAGTTATACCACCCTGGTTATACCCCCTAGCATATCGCAGCATACGCCCATGTACACCACAGTTTTACCCAATGTTGATCAACGGTGAAATATCGTCAGATTTCAGACACCAAAGTATCCGTAAGCACCAAGTATACGCCCTGATGCACCAATTTACAACAAGTATACGGACCCTGCTTATACCACTCAGCTCCTACAATCGCACAGCCTATTACGACCCATGTACACCAACGTATATCCCAAATGTCATCATGGATCAAGCGATGAGAGAGCAACATCATTCGTCATGATTTGAGACCACCAATGCTATCGATAAACTGCTGCAAGTTAACGCGCGGTCTAGCAGCCCACATATTGTCATACAAGTATCACACCCCTGCTCATACCCCTACATATCGACCACTACGCCATGCTATCCCACACAGTTGCGATCACTCCATGACGTGCTACAGTGGCCAGATATTCTACGAGACTGAATATTAGTCGTCATGATTTAGACACCAAGTATGCTACGAACCAAGCTATACGCCCCTGTGCATCACTCTAATTACTACATTAAGTGGATACGAGCACCCTATGGTTATACCCCTCATATTAGACCATCCGCCATGCCTAACACCAAGTATACCCCAATGTATCAACGCGGTGAAATATCGTCATCGATTTTCAGAACCACCTGAACGGTATATACTGCGCTACACCAAGTGATCACGCCGCTTCAGGGCAACAATTACAACAATCGTATCACACCCTGATATTACCCCCCTTACATATCCGGACCATACGATCGATAAACAATGTGTGGTCTA